GTGTGTCTGTGTGTGTGTGTGTATGTGTAAAATCTTTCTGTATAAACTTCTATATATCAGTTCTTTCTCTGAATGCAGATAGTGTCTTCCTTCACATGTCTTTTGTAGTTAATTTGCATATTTATAATAGTCAAAATGACTTATTTGCTCAAAGATGTTTTTAAAATAATATTGCTGTTATTGTATACAATGTTCTCTTGGTTCTGCTCATTTTGCTCTTCATTTCATGCATACCCATTTTTCTAAGATTATTGAGCTTATCATTTCTTTTTGCATAGTAGTATTCCTTCATAATCATAAACCACAACTTGTTCAGCCATTTCCAAGTGAGAACTCTCCCTGAAATTTCTATATCTTTGCCACTACAAAGAGAGGTGGTATAAATATTTAGAACATGTGCACTCTTTTCCTTTTTCCCTAAACATCTTTGGAAATAGGCCTAGCAGCGGTATTGCTGGGTCAAAGGGTAAAGGTAAGTTAATAACTCTTTGGGCATAATTCCAGATTGCTCTCCCAAAATGGTGGGATCAATTCACAATTCCATCAACTATAAATTAGTGTCCCAATTTTCCCACATCCCTTCCAACATTTGTCACTTTCCCCTTCAATCATTTTAGCCAATCTGATAGGTGTAAAATTATTCCAAATAATTTATTTAACATTGGAAACAGTTGATGTTTAAATGTTTGATAGAATCCACTTGTAATTCTGTCTGGTCCTAGTGCTTTTTTCTTAGGAGGTTCATTTATGGCCTGTTCAATTTCTTTTTTCTGAAACAGGTCTATTTACCTATTCAATTTCCTCTTCTTTTAATCTCTGCAATTTATATTTTTAAAAATATTTTTCTGTTTCACTCAAATTGCTAAAGTTATTGGCAAATAATTGGGCAAAATAACTCCTTGTAATTGCTTTAATTTCATTTTTGTTAGTGGTATCTATCCTTTTCATTTTTAATTCTAGGGATTCTTTATCTTCTCTCTCTTTTTTTAAAAATAAAATTAACCAATGGATTATCTATTTTATTGTTTTATTCATAAAACCAACTCCTACTTTTATTCATTAATCCAATGCTTTTCTCACTCTCAGTTTGTTTATGGTACCACTATTTATGTATAAATCATGTACCAATTTTGACATCATCTTGATATATGGTGTGAGATATTGGTCCTAAAAATTTGCATTTTTTCATTGATTCCCTTGAAATTCTTGACCTTTTGTTATTCAAATGAATTTTTATTATTATTTTTTCTAGCTTTATAATTTTTTTGGTGGTTTGATTTAGTATGGTACCAAAATAACCCCAGATTAATTTAGATAGAACTGTCATTTTTTTAATATTGGCTTGGCCTGTCCATTAGCAATCAATATATTTCCAATAGTTTTGATCTGGCTTTATTTATGTAAAAAGTGTTTTGTAATTGTATTCATATATTTTCTGGATTTGTCTTGACAGGTAGTTTCCCAAGTATTTTATATTGTCTACAGTTGTTTTAAATAGTATTTCTCTTTCTATCTCTTGTTGCTGGACTTTGTTGGTAATATATAGAAATGCTGATGATTTATTTTGTATTCTTCAATTTTGCTAAAGTTGTAAATGCAAAGGAAGGTGGCCTAGCTGTACCAGATCTTAAACTGTATTATAAAGCAGTAATTATCAAAACAATCTGGTACTAAGAAATAGAGTGATGGATCAGTGGAATCGGTTAGGTACACAATACATTATAGTAAATTATCATAGTAATCTAGTATATAATAAGCCTAAAGATCCAAGCTTTTGGGACAAAAACTCATTACTTGACAAAAAATTACTGGGAAAACAGGAAAACAGCCATTCTGCTGTCTGCTTCTGTTTTATGGGTGAATTCATTCCATTCACATTTATAGTTATGATGATGTTGTATTTCCCTCCATCCTATTTTCTCCTTGTTTATTCTTATCACTTCTTACCTTTACCTTATTCCTCCTCAGAAAGGTTTTGCTTCTAATCACCATCTCCCCCAAACCATCTTCCCTTCAATCAGTCCCCCCTTCTTTTATCTCTGTCCCTGTTTGCTTCCTTATAGGGTAAGATAAGTTTCTTTATCCAAACTGAATGTGTGTATTGTTCCCTCTTTGAGCCAATTCTCATGAGAGTAAGGTTCAAGCTTTGCCCTCCATTGTCTTCCCTTCCATTATAATAGCTCTTTCACACCTTTTATGTAAGACAATCTATCTCATTCTATCTTCTCCTCTTTTTTTCCCCAGGGCAATCTTTTTTTCTCACCCCTTTATTTACTTATTCTTTGACATCATCCCACCAAAGTCACATTATATTCACATTTTCTGTCTACATACATTCCTTCTAATTGCCCTTATTGTAATAAAATTCTTAAGTCAAAAATATTAATTTGCTGTATAGAAACATAAACAGTTTAACCTCACTGAATCTCTTGTTTTCTCTTTCTTGTTTTTATCTTTTCATGTTTTCCTTTAGTGTTGTATTTGAAGATCAAAATTTTTATTCAGCTCTTGTCTCTTAATCAGTGATACTTGAAAGTCCTCTGTTTTGTTAAATGTCCATTTCCCCCTTGAAGGATTCCCCCTTGTAGGTGATTCTTTGTTGTAATCCTAAATCCTTTACCTTCTGGAATATCGTATTCCAAGCCCTCTGGTTCTTTAATGTGAAAGCTGCCACCAAATCCTGTGTATTCCTAACTGTAGCTCCACAATATTTGAATTGTTTCTTTTTTGCTTCTTACTGTACTTTCTTCTTGACCTGGGAGTTCTGGAATTTGGCTATGATGTTCTTGAGAGTCTTCATTTTGGGATCTCTGTTGGGTGGTGATAGGTGCATTCTTTTAATGTCTATTTTGCCCTTTGGTCTTAGGTTATCAGGGCAGTTTTCCTTTATAATTCCTTGAAAGATGTTATCCAGGCCTTTTTTATGATGACTCTTAGTAGTCAAATAATTCTGAAATTATCTCTCCTAAATCTTTTATCAGATCAGTGGTTTTTCCAATAAGAAATTTTACATTTTCTTCTACTTTTTAGATCCTTTGATTTTGTTTTCTTGTCTCTTGGAATCATTAGCTTTCACTTGCCCAATTCTAATTTTTAAAGAACTATTTTCTTCAGTGAGCTTTTGTACCTCCTTTTCCGTTTAGCCAATTCTATCTTCTAAGGAGTTTTTTCTTCAATAAATTTTTGAATATCTTTTTTTTTTCAAGCTGTTGACTCTATTTTCATGCTTCTCTTCCATTACTCTTATGTCTCTTCCCAATTTTTCTTCTACTTCTCTAATCTGCTTTTAAAAATCCTTTTTAGGGGCTTTCAGGAATTCCTTTTTGGGCCTGAGACCAAATTACCTTTTCCTTTGAGGCTTCACATGTAGCCATTTTCACACTGTTGTCATCTTCTAAATTTGTGCCTTGATCCTCCCTGTCACCATAATAACTTTCTGTAGTCAAGTTCCCTTTTCAAAATTTTGTCCCTTTTTTTCAGCCCAATTTGTGAATTGATATTTTTATGTAAGAGTTGGACTCTGTTCCTGTGCTGTTCCAAGCTTCTCGTGCAGTGCTTGGGGCCTTTGCTGTTGGGCTTTACTGGACCTTAGGGCCTAGCTGCTGGTTTGCAATGGAGGGGAGCTCACTGTTGGCTTGTCCTGCCCTCCATGTTGGGCTCCCTGAGTGTGTGATTTGGGTGCTGTCTTGCCCCAAGAGTGGGGCCCTGCTACCTGGTTGCTATAAAGGTGGTTCCTCTCTCCTGTCTGGCCCTGGAAGAGGGATCTTGCTGTCGGATGGCTCCAGGGATATGGTCTTGCTGATGGGTGGTCTCAAGGGCATGGTCTTGCTGCCGGGCAGCAACGGGGGTGAGGCCTCACTATTTGTAAGCAGCGGGGGCAAGGCCTCTCTCATGGCTTGTGCTAGGGGTGGGATCTTGCTATGCTGCACAGACCACTGGCTCACCTCTGGAACTGATGGACCACAGGAAGTCAGGGCCCTGTTGGTCGATTGCCTCAGGCTTAGAGCCATGCTACTGGCCTCCTACTGTATGGCACCTGCTCCCCTCTCACCGCAGTGAGACAGACGTTTCCTGCCAAGCTGTTAAGCTGCTTCCCTGCTCCTGAATCAGTTCTGAGGTGGTTTTAAAGTTGTTTGGAAGGGAATTTGGAAGGGCTTCAGGAAGTTCTTGCCTCACTCACCATCTTGGCACTGGATGTCTTAAATGATTTTTTCAAAATCTGAAAGATCATAGCTTCAATACAGAGATGAATAGTTCAGCACAACAAATATCCATGTTGTCCATATCAACAAATGTATTTATTTTACTGTATTTTAAATTCATCTCTCTGACAAGTGGTATCATGTTTCATCTTCTGTACTCATGGTTTATTATTGTAATTTATACTCAGTTTTTCAGAATAATATTTCTCTATAATGCTATCACTGTATAAATTGCTCTCCCTTTTCTACTCTCTTCACTTTGCATGATTTTGTAGAGTTTCTCCCAAGTCTCCACTGAAACTATTTCTTCATGTCTTATGGCATGATAATAATCCATTACATTAATATACCACAATTTGTTTAGTAATTTATCAAAAGGATGACAACCAATTAGTTTTGTCTTTGAGACTACTGTGAAAAGAGCTGCTATAAAATTTTTGTGTGTGTGTGTATGTATGTTTATGTATATATATATAGTTTGTGTATATATATACTACATATGTATATGTATGTGTGTGCATATATGCATACACATATGTGTGTGTTTCCTCTTTTAAAACAATTTTCTCTGGGAGAATCTACCTAGTAGTGCTAGGCACTTTCAATTCTAATGTTATATGGTTCTATGGATGCCATTAATAATAGTAGTATTCAGAATCATCAGCCTATGTTCATTCTATGACCCCCACTATTAATACCCATAAGGTTACATTACTTTTAGGAAATGGGAGGTGGGTTTATTCAGGTCTTGTTTTATGTGGAATCTCCTTCTTTCTGATCTGAAGTCATGTAATCATCCTAGGTAGAGGATATCAATCTGCTATCAATGTCAAAATGTGGGTTTTTCTTCCTACAAAGAGCATAGAGGTACTTGGGAACTTGTGAGTCACTGCTGATCAGCACATAAGGGCTAACAGCTGGGAAACATGAAGCCATGAAAGCAGAGGTATGCATCAACCAGGATGGGGATTTTACAAATGACATATATGTTGTCAAGATGCTGTTGAGTGAGTAACAGAAGAAAAAAGTGCTCAGTAGCAATAGGATAGTTTTGGTGGCCCTGGACTCATGGGAGGCTCTGGGAAAGAGGCAAGTAAGGTGAACTTGTTTGACTTGTTTGTGATGTCTGTTTAGAAGAAACACCATATAACCACTGGCAGAGACCATGAATACTACACACACAGCAGCAGGAAAGGAGAGAATGATTGCAAATAAGGAGGGTTGAAATCCAGAAAGAATTCCATGACAGCAATATCCATAATGCTGTATCTCAGTGATGTTTCTGGTGTGCCTTGGTCCCTGAATTCCCCAAGGAGTATAGCTACAAAAAAGCAGGTGAAAAGTCCAACAGAAAGGAATAGAGAGAATGATGTACTTTTTGGCTCTGACTTTAAGCCCTGCCCAATTGGAGTTGCTAGGGCTGATGGTGATGGCCTGAAAGCCACTCAGGAGGCAGGTCATGCTGATGGAAAGTTCCTGAGCTACTCTGTGAAGGTAGAAAACAATTTTACAACCAATTTCATCCAGGAAATTCATCAGACCCAAAGCTGTCATTGTCTTTGGGATGCCCTTTGAGAGAAGCACCACGCAGTTGACCAAGGCCAGTTGAATGAGAATAGTATCTATAGGCCTCAACCTATGTCCTCTGAGAAAAACAAAGATGAAGAGACAAGTAAGAAAGGCATTCCCTAGAACCCCAATTCCTGTCTGGGAGAGGAAGGCAATACACAGGATTATATCTTTAGATTTCATGAAAGTGGTATCTTGGCGAGAAGAGCTGTCATCAAACGTAGAGGGACCTAGAGAAAAGCACAAGTTGATGTTATTTGTGAGCATTGCTTCCTCATTCCCATTTAGTAGATCCTATTGAAGACGTTTCCTTCTGGTATTTACAGAAACATTCTCACACTCTTCTTTTTGCCTTTCGAATAAAATTTAGTCATCTTTCTATGGTGTTTAAAAAGTTTGAGAGACATAAATTTCTGGGTAATTTAATCATTTTATTAATAATGCCAGCATTTTTAATAAAAGGTTAGTGACACTAGGGAATGCTAAAAACCGTCATGGTGGTAAGCTCATGGTTTATATGCCCTTAAAAAGTGGGTGTTCCAGAGGGTGGCAATCAACTCTGATTGGGTAACAAGTAATAAGAGAATGAATATTACAATGAGTGGCTGGACCTGTTTTAATGAACTTTGATTACGTCATTTACCTCTAAGTGACCCCCAGACTTGGGCAATCTATTTAAAGAATTTATCTCCATTCAAATTGGAGTAGAGTACAATGGTTTCCCCACCTGGGTGGGGTCTGAACAAAATTATTAAAAATCATCGGTTATTAATTACAATTTCTCTCATTCCCCCATTTGATTCTATTGAGAGACATTGATTATATTGAGAGACACAATCTCTTCAATGAATCACTAACTGATATGAGAAACACTTCATCAAGGTTTCTAACTATGGGCCTTTTGAGGGGAGACAACGGGAGGGGAAAAAGGAAACATAGACAGGCACTTTACCAAAATCACAGGGGGTAATTCCCTTTGATAACATTTTGACAAAAATGAAAGGGGGCAATCCCCTTTGATAAGGAGACTTTACAAATCAAAGGAGCAGAGAAAATGTAAGAAGTCTCATCCCATAGAGAAGTCTGGTTTTCTGGAAACATCTGATGCAGTCCTGTGGTTTGGGTGGAGTCTCAGAGCAGTTCTGCTCTGGTTCAAGTCACTTGTAGAAATCCTCTTCTCTACTAAAAATCTCCTACAAAATTGGTCTTACCACAATTTTAAATTTACTTGCCAATAACCAGGTCAAACAATTAAAGTTAGCTCAAACCTTGTATCTCTATTATCATAAAATCAAATTTGGAACCTTTTAGACCAGAGACTTCACATTTTTGGGTTACCAGTTGTCATGTAGATATATCCAAGAAACTCAAATACACACAGAAAATTAGAATCCAATTTTTACACTTGGCATTGTTCATTCCCCCATTAGGAGAATGAGATTCTGCTAAGGAACTAGTAACAGAACACTTTATAAGAAGATGAATTCTAATGCAAAAAATGAATTCATTTAAGACTTGCCAGATTAACTTCAGTTGTAATAAAAAGGTTCAGGATGGTATGTATGAAAATACATTGAATAATCAATTTCAGAACAGTGAATATCAAATAAGTTATTTATAATAAAATCATTTTCAACTTCTATCCATGTGCAAATAAATAACCCCTAGTACAAGTGGGTATCTCTTTAAGCCATTTATAAGCTAAATCACAAGTCATTCTTTTCTTGAGATACCTAAATTGTGCTGCTATTCTTTTATTCTATTCCTCTTATTATGCTATTCTTATGTTTATTCTTATGCTTCCTTCTTATGCCATTCTTATTATTCTATTCATTAACACAGAACTGAGACAGTTATGATATTAACCTCACTAAATAACTGAATTATCAATGGCTCTGGAGGAGAAGGTGAGGCTGCTGACTTTGCACAGCCCTCCCTTACTCAAATCAAATTCAATTGCAAGTCATGTCATCATCTCCCTGATGTCATGATCCTCTTCAAGAACGAAGGAGAAACAACCACCTGTAAGTAGTCTAAGCTTCCCTATTGGGGACCCAGCTGACCAGTTCCAGTTGGGCTTTTCCTCTCTTCTCCTCTTCTTTCTTCTCTCCTTTCTTTGGGTATCATGCCCATACCTGAGGGTATTCTGCCCAAAGGAAGGTAAATTTTGATTGCTGAAACCTACCTGGTTTGCTTGGGGTTTACTGGCTAGATTTGTTTATCAAAGACCAAGCATTAAATCCAATTCACTCTGGATCTCATTGATTGGACAATAGGTCCTTGCCCTGCCCAAGCATGACTTAATGTTTATTTTTTGGGCTCTATTGGCTCAATTTGTGTAAATAGTAACTGTTTCTCTTTTGGCTAGCAACCCTGAGAGTCTTTCCTTCCCAGTTTGATTTTTATTAATTAATGTGGCCAACCCTTGACTTCTTAAAGAGTAATTTAAAGTAATCAAAAATACCTAAAGAATAATTCACTGAATGCACATTGCCTTACTCAAAATGAGAACTTGAAAAAACCTTAGCTTAATAAGATCTTAATAAGGTCTTCCACTGCATCCTGGGCCACCTTTAGTAGTCCTGATTGATATCTGGCCACTGGACTCAGATGGCTCTGGAGGAGAAAGGAAAAAAAAAGCAGGTGAAAAGTCCAACAGAGGAAACTGGAGGGAATGAAGTATCTTGGGGCTCTGGCTTTAAGCTCTGCAAAATTAGAGTTAATGGGGCTGATAGTGATGGCCTGAGAGCCACTCAGGAGGCAAGTCATGCTAAGGGAAAGGTCCCAAGCTACTCTGTGAAAGTAGAAAATAATTTTACAACCAATTTCATCCAGGAAATTCATGAGACCCAAAGCTGCCAGTGTCTGAGGAATGCCCTTAGAGAGAAGCACGAAGCAGTTGACCAAGGCCAGTTGGGTGACAATAGTGTCTATAGCCCTCATTCCATGTCCACTGAGAAACACAAAGATGAAGAGACAAATAAGAAAGGAATTCCCTAGGACCCCAATTACTGTCTGGAAGAAGAATGCTCCACTCAGGATTATGTCTTTAAATTCCATAACAGTGGTATCTTGGAGAGAAGAACTGTCACCAAAGGAAGAGGGACCTAGGGAAAAGTAAAAATTGATGTTATTTGTGAGTATTGCCTCCTCATTCCCACTTAGCAGATCCTATTGAAAATGTTTCCTTCTAATCTTAACAGAAACATTCTCACACTCAGCTTTAGTCTATGGAGCAGAGAAATTGGTGTTAGTGGTGGGATACTGTTCCTTTAACCTCTTTTAATTTAAATAATAGTTAATGTCAGAAAAATCTGAAACAAAAATCTACTACAGTGAGTGAGTGAAGGAAAGTCTTTATTACGTTTCTCTTGTGAGAAGCAGGCACTGGTTCACTGGTAGAATCAACTTTTAAACTGTTAGTAAGATCCATACTCCACCCATCAGGGCTCCTATTGTTCTAGTTCATCTGAGTTATACCCTTCCTGGACAGCCCATAGCATGTTTGTCCATGTTCTGTTAACTCCAGCCACTTCGTGGGTCCCATGCTCGAAAATGGCAGCTATCTTTGCCCTTGGGGTGTGTCAGTCAATATTCAATAAGCTTATTAAGCAAGCACAGTTCAAGGCCCCATCCTTGAACCCTGCTGGTTGCATCCAGTTTAGCCTCTAGGGCTCTTTCTTAAGAACTAGTTGTTTACAGAAAAGTTTGGAGTACTTTCTGATTGGTTGAGGGACTATCCACAAGATCTTGAGATTTCTTATCCTACTGTGGAAGCCTAACCCCCTAAAATCTTTTTTACAATTCCCCCCTCTTCTTTCTAGTAAAGATTTGGCTTCCACACATTCCCAGTTTCCTTATCCTCTAATCTCTTTAACATGATTTCACATTCTCCATCACTGGGGAAAGTCTCATTGGTACTTTCAGTCATCATCCTCATATTGCCAGAGCCTGCCATCTGAACTCCCACTGTGGGTTCTACTGGGATAATCTTAGTGAGGGACATCTCTATCAATCGTTGTACCAGTTCTCTAATGCATGGAACTATAAAACATCCTATAACATTTCAGCCACAATTAGGTTAGCAATAATGGATACAACCATTCCTCTCCCCTTTGCCAAACCAGAATTTTAACCATCCCTTTAATCAATTATCTGTCCCAGAGTTTTCTGCCAACTCCTCAGCTAAAGTAGTTAAACCTTGCAATGCCTTAGTGATGGTTCTATCTGGAGCTGTGCTACTGGGCAACATTTCATCAAGGGATTTTGGGGAACAATAAGGGGGAAGGGAGAAATTGACCGACACATTGACAAATTAAAAAGGGGGCAGCCCCCTTATTAGGTACAGGTGCAGAGACCCACAGTAAAGATAAATTGTCCATTTAAAGCTTCAGAAGTCTCTTCTCACACAGCTGTCTGACACTCTGGGCATCATCTGGTGAAGTCCTCTGGTCCAAGTGCTATTCAAACAATGTCCAGCAGACTCTTCTTGTAGAGATCCTCCTTGTTGTGTCCACTCTCCTACAAGATTGATCTCAACACAATTTTTAAATTACCTTGCCAATAACCAGGGCAAATGATGAAAGTTAACTCAATTCCCGTGTCTCCACCATTACAAGATCAACATTGGAACCTTGGCCAATTGCCATATTTTAAGAAACTCAAATTAGAAAAATTAGAACCTAGCCTTACGCTCTGCATTACTTCTAGTTTTATACCTTGCATTAATTCAGTATTCATTCCTATTCATGTTCCCCCATCAGGAGGGTGAGATTCCACTAAGGAATTAATAACAGACTCCAGTACATAGCAGCTAATTTAAAACCAGTACACATCGGATACTAAAACAACCCCAACTTCCAGTCATGTACAAATAAATAATCCTTAGTCAAAATGAGTGCTTCTTCCAAACAAGATGTCAGAAGGTATTCTTCTTTTAACATTGATTGTAACAAACTAAAACAACTTTAAAGTTAACTAAGTATTAACTAAGTAACAAAATAATATCCTAGTTTCACAATCTCCTGGCCTAATTATCCCCAGAATGATGAGGTATGGGCCCAAGCCCACCAAAGGCCCTTCCCTCTTGCCCCAAAATGAATCTGGTTCCCATTTGTCTATGGGCCCCAGAAAACCCTTATAGTTTATCTCCAACAAACTCCCCCAGGCTGAAAGACCCGGGC